AAGAAAAAACCTTCAAAAAAAAAAAAAAACATTATTTTTTTCCGGACTCTTAATAAAACTGATATTTAACAAGTAGAGAAATTAAAGTTTGCTCATTTCTATTTCCTAATGTGACACTGTAAAATTTTTTATTTATATAAAGAAAATTAGCAAATGAATTTTAAAAATGTAAGGAATTCAAATGCTAACTTCACTACTGGATAAAAACTCTAATGTTAAACTTAAAAGCTGATGAGCACAGATTAAAAACCAGTCATGGGGGCCAGGAGGTGTGGTGGTGGCTGAGGTGCTGGATTCCCACACAGTGGTCCACAGTTGAGTCTGCGACCCAGAGGCTTAAAACCCACATCAGAACTGTGTGTGTGTGTGTGTGTGTGTGCCCCAAGTCCCTAGAGGAGAATGGAGGAGATGGGACTGCAGCATGGCCATCCCCCCAGGGGAGATTTCTCATTTTCCCTCTCTTTGTCTCTCTGTCTCTCCTGTGAGCACACGCACCCTTTTAAGTCTCTTAAAAACAACAACAACAGCAACAACATAAAAACCCACCCATATTCTAAGTAGATTACATAATATTTTGGTACAATTGGATCTAACTTTTGAAGACTATTTCATTTACTAGTTAATGCGAGTTTCTCAAAAATGACAAGTTTATCAAAAACTAGCAAAACAAAACACCCCCCCCCCATACTCTTCTGTTTTCTATACAGATTTCACAGAAATCTGGGAAGGTAGAAGCTTCCTGGAATTTCCCAGTGTGTTTGGAACCCAAAGAAAGCCCTGGAGGGTAGGCATCCAGCACAGAGGGCATTTCCCCAGCGATTACTAAGAAGTGTTTAGACGCAGAGGAGTAAGCAGCCCCTGCCCTGGATGTGCACTGGATTGCAGAGGTAGGCGTTCCTAGATCACAGTGGCAGCTGTGGCCACATGACCTGTCTGACCCCATGATGGCTCCACAGTAAACTCAAGGCCAGTGTCATCTGCCATTTCTCCACCCAGAGTGTCCCCTCGGTTTTGTGGTGTTCTTGGGGTCGCGCTGCTTCTCTTTGTGTCTGGGATGTGCATTTGAACATCTGCTGTTTCAAACTTGTCTTCAGGTTGTCTATTAAGGCAGACATCTTTGTCCAGGTTCATGCTCTTTAAAACTTTCTTTTTTGCTTTCTAAAGAATTACTTATTTAATTTTATTTATTCATTCATTTTATTTTAATTTGCTCTCTCACACACACACACACACACGGAAAGTGAGAAGGCAAGCGCCACCAGGTCCGGAACTCTAACAGTAGTCAGCCATATGGGAGTGTCCAGCGCCTTAACTACCAAGCCACCTGCTGCCCACCCCCCTTTCCAAAATTAGTTTCTTTTTTTTTTTTTAAAGAATTATTTAATTTTATTTGTTCATTCATTTTATTTGAATGGCCAGCTTCATATTCTCACACAGCAGGTACAGACCTGGCTATGCCTGTGTGGACTTTGACTGAGCAATATTGTACTTTGCAATGGGGCTGCGTCAGCAGCGACCTTGTCTCTCGTTCTCAAAAAATAAATTGCTTAGAATTCCTGACAGCTTGCTTTTTTTTTTTTTTTTTTTTTTTTTTTTTTTTTTTTTTTTTTTTTAAGGCTTATGCCATAGGGCATGTACATTCACAAGAGAGAGGAGAGAGAAAGTGAGAAATCACCCCCAAGGGGGAATAATTACGCTACAGTCCCTTCTCCTGGGATTTTGGGCACATGTGCCTGATGTGATTTTTAAGCCATCAGGTCTAGGACTTGAACTGTGGTCGCCCATTTGGAAGGTTCCATACCTTAACCACCATGCTACCTGCTGGCCCTTGGTTACATGTATTTTTTTAAAAGAATTATTTATTTAATTTAATTTATTTATTCTTCTTCTTCATTTTGACCAGAGAGAGAGGGGGAGAGAGTGGAGAAGCAAGACACAAGGTCTGGGACTTGAACCACAATTGGACATGTGGGAGTCCAGCACCCCAACCACCATGCCACCTGCTGGCCCCAGTTTACATGTATTTTAACCTGGCCAAAGAGGAGCATTCTAGAACCACTTATTTTCCTTCTTACAGATATTTTGTTCTTTCTTAGATGATTGTGCTTGGTTTTGTTCTTTTAGGCACAGGTTTACCAGTTATGACTTTAAAAATACTACTTGCCAGGGGACCAGCAGGTGGCATAATAGTTACATCACTGGACTCTCACGTAGTCGACCATGGTTTGAGTCCTGGACCTGATGGCTTAAACTCAACGCTGGGAACGTGTGTGCCCAAGATCCCAACAGGAGAATGGAAGAGAAGGGACTGTGGTGTGGCCATCCCCCCTGGGGA